AGCAAAGGCGGCCGCAGCAAGGGGCATTACGACGACTACGACGAGCGCCGTGCACCGCAGCCGCACGCAAACTCCTGGGGCAAAGGCGCAGCCGAGCCCTGGGAGCACCAGCCCGCACAGCAACATGAGCCCTGGGAGATGGGCGGCACCGCGCCGCAGGAGCCTGCACCGCCCCCGGTTGAGATGAAACCGAGCACGCAAATTCGCACGCAAGTCCGCTGGAGCCAGCAAGGCAAGCCAATTTTTAAGAACTCCAAGGGGAATTTGGCTTGCGCCTGGCAGTGCACCCGCACGCATTGCAGACACGGTCGGCCACCATGTGGATTCACCATCAGTGATCCCATGGCCGACCGGCACGCATCGCATGCATGCAGTCTTTGCATGAAGGACGATGGCGCATAGCACTGCACCGCACCGCAAGAAAGGGAAAAAAGCCGCTGCATGGTAGCCGCAAGTTTTCTGCCTGCGTCGGCCTTTTTCACCTTGTGCATTGCATGGCATAGCCTCTCCAGTTTTGGGACCAAGGCCGCACCGCAAGCACCTTCGCTGCAAGGCTCGCGCAGCCATGGCACCTTTTTCGCAAACCTGCATGCCACATCCTCGCACAGGTCGGTTTTTCCTCTACGAGGATGAAGCAGGCAGGTGCCTCTCGGCCCCGCCCCTACGCCGCATGTTTCACTCGATGCCCTCGCATAGCAAAAGTCCTGCACCTGTATGCCCAGCCTTAAGCCCTAATCTTCTGCCAGCAGGTGCACAGCATCGACAAGGCCAGGACCTCAAGATCGCTGAAGGTGCACATGTTTTCAATCTGAGTGAGTTTGAGTTTCTGCACTGCATAGCCTCTCAAGCCAAGACTCTCGCATGTGCAAGCTCGGCAAAGCATTACTTCTCAGTACCTAGATCTAATTTTTGATGCATGTCTGAGAGCAATGGTGACGAACTGGACACCAGCAATGCACTGGGTGAAGAATCGAGTGACGAGACACCGCCCAGAGTGGTGGTAAAAAGGTATCGCAAAGCCGCCCCCCCTAGCACAGCACAAGCACAGCAACCAAGCTCCAGCCAGCAGCATATGATCACTTCGACTTCAGCCCCTCTTCTCATGCAAAGCAAACCGAAGTTTGGGCCCGGCCCTAGAGGACACGCTCCCCCTCGCCTGGCAATCAGCCCCTATCCCTTGCCAGCAACCCTCCGCACGCAAATGCGCATAACAGCACATTGGCACGATCGCCTGCAACCCCACGAAACAACCTACAGACCCAAGCTACCTCCCTTCGCAAAGGGGCCCCCCTTAGCACTTCCACTCAGCATCGCAACACGACCGCGCTGCAGCATGCCAGATCTTCGTACTGGAGGACGGCCGCCGCCACAGCCACGGCCAACCCCACGCAGCCTCGTGTTTCGACGACGGGCATAGCGCTACAACCCGCAACAAACACATCGTCTACTCAGCTACGCGAGGCGATGCTCCGCACGGCAGGCCGCAGACAGCACCAATGCACACACAAGCTGCAACGACAACGCAGCGTGCAATGCCACTATCCCCGGCGCCTGTCCGCGAACAGGCACCCACGACGACCAAAGCACGCAATGCCGCAGCCCGCAAGCTCGCAGAACAGACCTTCATTGATCTAGTCAATAGAATTGGCCCGGCATGCGAAGCATTCATACAACTCAGTGCCTCAGCAAATTTTGCATCGCACCTACGACGGCTCGTGGCACCCTTCGCAGTTAGCACATTGCAACGATACCTCCGAGCCAGCCATGTTTTCGTGGACTTTATCTCCACTACCTGGTCACTACCTCCTCGCAAAGTGGCAAGCCATGCCTTAGCAACATCCAGGTATCGCTTATGGCAGATTATATGCTGGCATGTTCCGCAAGCAAAGAAGAAGACCGCGAAGTGCACATGATGAGCCCCGTCTCCAGCATCAAAGCACTTCGCTGGGTTGCCAAGACCCTGCAATGGCAAGCACTTTCAGAGGCTATATTGTCTCCAGTCATCTCAGCATACGGCAGACAATCGCGTGAATACGATCGCAAAGAAGCGACTCCCATACCCATGGCATTGCTCGCATGCTGGGAACGCAATATCTGCTCCGCAGAGGCACCTGTTCCTGGGCGCCGTCCTGCTCTGCACGCATGCAAGCCTTCGCTTCGGCGATGCACAAAGAATAGAATGGACTACACTGCAACTAAGTGCGCATTGCACGGCACTGCATATGCAACCAAAACCACGAAATGTGGTCAGCCGTTCGCGTGCACTTGGCACGGCATCACAGGCAGATGTATACAATCTTCATGGTTGCTGCAATGGCTATCCTGCCTCGTAGAGGTAGGCACAGAAGCCGACCTGGAGCCAGATTTTCTATTCTTTCATGCAGATCTAGATTCGCGCAAGCACCCACAAGTTTTCCCTTGCAGCTACGCACACGCATTGCTGTGCCTCAGATTCATGGCACAAAAAGCTGGACTGGCAGCGTCGGAGGCTTTCGCACTGACACTGCACAGCATGAAATCCACCATGCTGGCGGCCGCCGCGCAAATTCAGTTCGATGAGCATGCACGCCTCGCACAGGGACATCATCGGGACAGCCTCCGCCTCTACAGCCGCAACGACACTCTGGAAGCCCTTCGACTCCAAATTGAGCACGCAATTGGCTCGAGGATGGAGACCGCAACGCAGTATGGCCAGAGGAGGCGCAGCCCCAGTACCCGAACCACCCTTCAGCACGTCACCGCAGCCCCCGCAGCAACTGCAACAGCTGCAAGCAGGGACGTGGGCAATTTTCACATCTCGACATGAAAGCCTGCGCAGCAACACCGAACCCCAGTCGCACGAACCGGACGAACAGCAGAGCACACGCCCAGACACCGACTCGGAAGCAGAGTTGGTGGAGAAATACGCGCGGGAACGCACGCACAGCTCAGAGGAGGAGTCTGAAGAGCCGACCGCCCCTGCAGCGGATGAAGAGCTTTTCGTGTGCTCGGGGCCCTGGAACGCATTGCACAGCCCCACACGAAGTTCGCATCTAGAATATGAGCTCCTTTATGGATCGAATCCGCTGCATGCAGATGTGCTCATAGCAGCCTGTGGCGCAGACCTGGGCTCCATGCCTGTGGTCATCAAGACCCATGACACTGTTTCAGCATGCAGACGCAAAGCGTGCGTGCTCGCACGCGCAAGCTTGCAAGCATAAAACTCGCCCTGCCTGCTCGCTCCTACCAGCACTGCCCAGGTGACGACTACACCGGGAGGCCCGCAGGGGAGGAAGAGCTGCAGCTTGTCTACTGCGCCTGCCTCTCTTGCTTGTTTGGTTGTTCCTGCACGCTTTGCACTGCACGCGTTGCTCAAGCCAAGTGGCTCAAATAACAACCACAACACAACATTGCAGTTTTTACTTAGCAGACAGACCTTTAATTTTTCCCGCACCGCATCGCTAGGCATGGCAACGCAATCCGGGGCAGAAGGACCCGGAGACGCACCGCACTCTGCACACGATGAGCTGAACAACGAAGAAGGGCTGCAGCGCATCCTGCGGGAGCTCTGCGTCCCGCCGGCAATGCACCAAGCACTGCGAGCGCAAGGCATATGTTGCATCGCAGATTTTGCCTACGCTTATAACAGCGCCGCCGACCTCGACAACTTTGCCACGTCCAAGGACGAGGAGTTTTGGACAGCACTGCAAGTGACAGAGCAGCCCCTGCACAGCATGCCCATGGCACGCCTGCGCCGCGCACTGGTGCAAGCACAAATCCGAGTCAAGGCATACGAGGCAGAGAGGCATCGCGCAGAAGAGCCTGCACCGCAGAGCTCTGCACCTTCTTCCAGCACCGCACCGCCCACCGACTCCTGGGTGGAGCACGCACCCACCGCAACGCCTGGACAACGACACCGTGGCAAAGCTCACTGCAGAATTCAAAGAAGCCTATCCGGGAGAGCTCCTGGATAGCGCAAGCACGCCCAGCATTCGCCTGCTCAGCATGGTATACGCTCAAGTACATCCCTTGGCAATTCCGCATGTCGCAACGCCAATACACCGAGATCATTGAGGCCAAGGCGCACCGCATTGTCCGCACTGAGGCGCAGCTCATCAGCACTGCATTGTTCGATGACACGCCGACGCTCAGCATTGCAGAGGTCAATATTAACGAATCGTGGCTACAAGCAAAGCAGCGCATCTTTAGCAATGCAATAGCACTGTGCAAAGGAGCACACTTGGCAGTGCTCAAAGCCTTTGACAGCAAGGTCTGTGAGCAATGCACGCAAGTTTGGAAGCCCTGGCCACGGGCTCCGCAACGTGAGCACCGAGGAAATGCTGGACGCAGACCGCAAGCTCTGGCGCAGCATCGCAACGCTCGTCGAAGAACAAGGATTCAGCCTCGACGAGGCACTGCGCGAGATGACGCATGTTCGCGGCGACATCGCCACTCTCATGCAAGCACGGCCCCGCATGCCAGCGATGCCGCCCGCACCGCATGCACCTTACACACCGCCGGGCCCGCCAAAAGGGCCCAGGAAGGGCGCCGGCAAAACCGGCAAGGCTGACAGCCCTAACAGGCCGCAGCGCACCATTGACAAGCACCAGGCACAGCAACTGGAGCGAGCCATGCAAAACTTGCAAATTACGCATGGCAAAAAGACGCTCTGCCTCCGCTACAACAAGACGCAATGCAACAACGCAAACTGCAAGTACGAGCACCGCTGTGCAATCAAGATGCCGAATGGCCAAGCATGCGGCGGGCAGCATCCCGCGCACAAGCATCGCTTTAAGCAACCACGCAGCGGCACTGACACAGATGGCGCTTCCAGCGCAGCAACGTCTTGACACAGCCGGGACGAGGTCCGCGGGAGCCTGTCCTCGGCGGGCGCTTCCCCGCAGCACCACCGTGAAGCACAGCAGAGCACAAGCACAAGCACACCTAACGCACCGCAGCAGCTTGGACCCGAGCACCGCAGTCGATCGCCGGAGCCGAGCAGAACTCGAGCAGAAGAAAAGAAGCCTAGCGGGCCTAGCGCAACGGCATCGGCAGGGATACGCAACCGCTTTTTCTTCGCATGCATAGACTCCGACAATCACGAATACTCGCAGGCAGTGGTGGACAGGCACTTGCACTGCCTATCCCCCCCAGCCACGCACAGCCAAATGGACATATTGAAGGACCCCGCAGAAGCACATAAGCTCTTACAGCTAGCATACTCTGGCCTGGTAGGACTGCTGTGGTGCGACGCTCTGGAAGAGATACAAGACGAGGACATCCAGCAGCATCTCCTGGACATTACTAAAGCAGTGCTGGAGACAGCTGGGCACTTCTTCGTCACTCTGCCCGCACACCTGCCAGACTCCTGGCGCGCATTGCTGCAGGAGAGCAACGCACATTGCTGGCAGCTACCAGGCCCGCGTGGCATCAGACACGCAGTGTCATCCTTGCAAGAAATTTCTCAAATGCAAGGCACGAAGATATCACCTCAGGCCGCTGCAGACTTGGCCGCTTTGGTGGTCTCGCCAGGAGCCTCGGCCTCTGTTCCCTGGCAGGACTTTGGACAGCATTGCTCAGGTCCTTTCAAGCATCGCCGCCCAGCAGTCTGCGACGGTGCGGGCCTTAACAGTGCTGCAGACAAGTCGGTCCCGCAAGGCAACACCAAGCTACAAACATTATCTGAGCAGTGGATACAGTACCTTCCATCGGAAAATCTTCTCCTGCACCTCGTAGAGCACATACACGAGGGCAGGGACGCACACCCCTTCACGGAGGAGCAACAGCAACGCATCACCAGCATCGCACACGAAGCACTGCACCCGGGATGCCAAAGCAAAGAATGCACGCATATATCGCAAGGCCAGCCTTTCCGACTCGCACTGCTGCGACTCTTTGCGGAAGCCACAGGAGACCCCGATACAGGTTTGTGTGCAATGTTGGAAGAAGGTGTCAGCACAGGCATCTTCGAGCCCATACCATCTAGCATGCAATGGGTGCAGCAACAACACCCAATAGATGACGCAGATTTAGACGGTATGCACCTTCTGCACTGCCAGGGCAACTGGACGCAGGCAGAGAAAAACCCGCAGCTCTTAGACGAGCTCGTAGCAAAGGAAATAGAGCA